GTACAAAAGGAGAGTGGTGTGTATTCCTACTAGCTGTGACAACACCTGCAGAGGATCGGAAGCTCCTCCATCCAACTGTGGTTAGCTTGAAAGTTGCAAGTTTTTCTCTTCTTGTGCACTACATGAATCTTTTAGAGAGAGGCGAGACAATAAAGGAATTTGTATCATGGAGTCAGTGGCATACAGAGTAACTGGCAGAGATACTGGTGTGCTGTTCAGTGCATGCACTCAACTCCATGGGCATAGCAAGAAAATCATAGCAAGGTGAGACCTCAGGTATAAAAGAATGAAGTGTCCATATATTGAAATATTTTTTAAAGACTTATATGCTAGACTTTGATTAAGAGAAAGAAACACATAGATACTTGAAATGACACAGAGAATTCAGGAAGATAGTAACATGTTGCATGGATGGAAAATTGAATACAACTTTTGAAGAAAGAAAGCCTAGTAAGTATATTAAGCATCTGAGCAACATCACCATAGTGCCTAAGTGGATAAACAGGCTTAGCAAGAGATGGTATGCTTTGGTATAGATCTGATATGGGGGAGGCCTGCACATGTGTTGTGAAATTTTTGAGAAAGGCAGTACTGAAATAGTTCATCGTCACGATTGTCAGTGCTGCGCTTGTTTTCTGAAGTATGGCCAGAGTATGAACATGATACATGATGTAAATATCTGCATATATTACATAAGGTAAATTTCCTATGATATGGATTATTCAGGAAAGATAATCCTAATTGCTTTCCTTTGAAAATTCAGCATTTTCTGCATCCCGAATTTTGGAGTTTAGCATGGTTTTTGCAGTGAAAGGTGCCGTATGTTACCAATTAATTGTCTTGGTCCTGTGTGAGCCAGCAGGCTCTTGTCTGCATAGAGCGCCACTGTGTTGTTCAAGCTCTGTGTGTGGGCTCTAAACCTCTCAGCTGTCTTTGAAGTAGACATTCTTTTTCATCTGTTTTACATGTGGGAAACTGTTATGTAGGCTGATAATCTGTCTTTGCTCTCTGAAAATTCAGTAAATAATGTCAGAGACTTGAGAAGCATTCCACATTGTGCTTTTTTTAGCTTTAGAGTATGTTTCGTCTAAGGTAGTTTATTATCATCAAATGCAAATTGCATCAGAGACAAAGCTTAGAAAAAGAATTGCTGATCCCCACTGTAGCTGTGAATTTCTTATTGACATTGTCTTTATAGCTCTGCTGCATTATTTCTGTTTTCCCTTTGAATCTTTACTTGTTTGATAGACCAGTCATTCACCTTTGTCTTCCTACTGTTTCATGAAGTACAGTACCACTGCACTGAAAGGTGGTGCAGGCTTCTGCACCCTGAGGTGTTAAGAAAAAGATACTTTATTCCCTTCTTATGTTGGATTATTTTCTGATTTTTGCATTTTGCCATATTTTATCCCACAAGGAACAATGTTCACGATGTGGGTGTCTCTTTGCTTTGAGGTTCAGCCATCCTTGAAAGCTGTTTACCGGTTCATGTGCTCCCTTGTCATGAACATTTTCTCTTAAATAACTTGGCATCATGACAAATTATTTAAAACCACAAGTAGATATTAGCTGTTTCTTTTAAGTTTTGTGGTTTTTTGCTATATTCAGAGACTCACTTTTTCTATAGTAGAAGGAAAAAAAGGTAAAACTTATATAACACCCACTGTTTTTATGTTTTGATTGTAATCCTTGGATGATACACCATGAGCAGGCTAGAAATTTGATCTTTATTGACTCTGCCATCTAAGAGAAAAAAGAAGGTAGGTAAAAACAAAAATAGTAATTGGAAATAGCTCCTGTGGAGCAAAGCTGTCATGAAGCAGATTGATTCAGCAGTGGCAAAGTTGCTTTATTGATTGTAAGTCCTTAGTAAATTAAAAAGAGGAGCAAATGCGTTAATCTTCTATGTGCGTGTGTGTTTGACAGTGACAATTAAGAATGCTCTGCCAGGATAAAGACACATAGAGGAGTGTGGGAATGTTATCTACTTCAGTCAGCAGCAGGCTTGCCAGAGATAAGAATAGGGTTCTTCAGAAATCCTTCTGGATTGAATGTTCTTTACTGTGCTGTAAATAAAGGATAGAGGAAGTATTCCTGCTTGGTTCTTTAAGCATTCAGGTGCAATTAGTCTAGGTAAAGGAATGAAGCATAGCAATTATAATAATTTTCTTCAGGTGTTCCTTAAATTTTATTCTCTGTCCCAATTGCAATGTCAAATTTGTTGTTAATAAATCAGTGCAAAACCTTAATATATTCTAGCTTAGGACCTCAATCTGCTTCATAAGCAAAAGCTCAGTTTTGGATTTAGACTTTTGACTTTTTTAATTACTGCTAATTACTTAATGTCATTGCCCATTTGCAAGTAAATTAATAGTTTATTTATATTTTCCTTCCCAAATCATCACAGCTTCTCATAAGGATGAAATTCAGTTAGATGGGGAGCAGCTACACAAAGTGATATTATAGTACAGAAGCTTTCCGTTCCCAGAAAAACAGGAACAGAGCTGGGATTCTGTTCTGATGAGGACTAGATGTCACCAAGATAAATTCTTGCTTTTCAGCTTCAAATTCTGCACCATCAGAAATGTATTTATTCTTGGGTTAGTGTAGTTGAAATTCAGCCAGGAGAACATGCTCTTCTTTTTTTTCCTGCCATTGCTGCCTGAAAATCCAGCTGCTGGGGATAGTTTTGTGGCCTCTCATTCCCAAGGTGTCACCTGCCTATAGAGCACTCTGAACCTCTGTTGTTTTGGAAGCACAGTTGTTTACAGGACAGGGTTTGAGGAACATCTCCTGTGAAGAGACTCTGGGGTCACACAGTTGGTGGGGGAAAAGGAATTGGAGATGAATGAGGTAAAACAGCAGAAAAGGCAGGGAGCTGGAGATACTGTTGGTTCTCACTACTTCGTATGGAGTCACCAGCCTGGCATGCTGAAGTGAAAGGGAACAAGGTCCTCCTGGCCCTGGAGGGAGATGGGAACTGGAAATGCTGGGGACCCATTAAAGGTCTCCTCATTGATTCATGGATAAGGTACTGTTTTTTCATCTTCAAGAACAGAGCTTTGTAGTTACTACTGACTCAGAAGGAGGGCCAGTGGGGCAACAGGATTCCTTCTAGGAAGGAATCTAGACATCCTTGTGTTCTTATTAAATCATACTGCTGAAGAACCCAGACTCCATCTTGTGCCCTGACTCATGTCCCCCAGCAGCAGTGAGCCAGAGAGGCATAATACAGACTGAGACATCATCTCTCCCATTTCATCTGACCACTTCACTCCTCTTTTTCTTTCTTTACTTGCTGGTCCTGTTTAGTTATCTTCTGATTTATTTGCCTTGCCAGATAGCTGCATCTGTTTGCAGAGACTTGTTGATATTGTGCTTTACAGGACAGCATCCTCATGAGATTTGTAAAGTCCACTGTATTTTCTCCTTTCTCACCTCATGCTTGTTTGAGGTTTCCTAGAAGAAATTGCAAACTCCAAAGGAAGGAGTACAGTAGCAAGTGGCTGCCATTCATCTATTTGTGCAGCTATTGAAGCATTTCATGATCATTAATCAGAGCTTATAGTTATGCTTTATTTCTCTTCCCTGGTATCTCTCTACCCCTTCCAACCCCACTGTTTGTCACCCTTATCACTTTTGATAGCCTTAGATAGCCCAACAGGAGAAGCTGTGTAGCTCTGAGTGGTAGTACAGCATAAATAATTTTTTTCCTAAAAATGTAAATGCCACTGTGCTTTGCTTCAGTGTGCACAACATTAAATAGTAATTGTTGTTAGTGGCAATTTGTAGTGTTTAAGAGTCTTGCCTATTCAGTCTCTGTCATGCTGGGTTTTTGTGCTGAATGACTGATTGTTGCACCACTGTTTTTCTTTGTGAAGCACATCTGTACTCAGAAGGAGAACTGCCTAATTTGTTTCAATCTGGCATACTGGAGTAAGTCTGCTTTTAAATTGCATACTTAGTAGGTTACAAATCAGATGGCAGCATTTTCATGGTGCTAATTCTCCAGTGTACCAGGAACTGCTGACTTGAATAGGTTTTGACCACTTTTCCTTTTCAGTAAGTCTTCTGTAACTCATTTGGCTTGCTTAAATGACCTGCTCCTTATTTTCCACAGCAAGAGTTTCTCTCATTTGGGAAATGTAAAAGGATAACATTCCTAGCCCAAGCAGAAGCAAAATGTACCACTGCCATCTGGGCTGTGAAATTGGAATAAAGCTGAAAGCGTTACCTCAGTATATAGCCATGGCTGGAAGCCAGATGACAGATAATAAAAGGATGGTCTGTTAGTTGGCATGTTAGTCAGGATCTTGAGATGTGCTTGTTGTGCTTCAAATCTCCAAGAATGTGGGCAGGTTGGAAATTATTTCTCTCACCTAATACTGTTTATCTGCATGTTATGTATCTACTGAGCTAATTGTCTCAGCTCATCCACTGTGAGTGGATAGGCAATTCCAGAGGGCATGGGGTCATTCCACATCACTTAGGTCCACATTTTACACTAGGATGAATAACCCTGTGGAGAAACTTGTCTCTCTGTGTAGACATCACAAAAAGACAGTAGCTGATGTCCTTATTCCAGGTACATAACTTTCAGATGCTTGAGATACAGCAAATGAGCCTTCTCTTTCTCTCATGCAGCTGCCTTCAGTTGTGTAGCAGTCCTTTCCTGTCTCACAGGTACACAGAGATTGAACAGTGCTACTGTTCTTACAAAGTGTTTACTGTGAAAAGAAATTACTATGTAATTATAATTATCTCTATATACATATATTTGTGACTGCCTGAGATTTGAACATCGTGCTGAAAGGGAGGCAGTTTTAGGACATGGGACCTGGAGGCTTTTGCATCCCTAGGAAATATGTAGCTGTTTCATAGCAATATTCAGTTGAACACATTAGAGAAACAAACAAAGCTAGGACTTAAGAATACCTGGCTTGTATATGAAGCTCTATAAGTCATGCTCTTTCATGGTGACTGGTTTTGTTTCTTTTTAGATTGTGATGGATTTCAAGCACCCTGATGGCCATACAGTGGCAATTATGTTGCCCCGATGCAGTTTATTGGTGATGACTGGAGAATCCAGATACCTGTGGACACATGGGTATGTGTAAGAGTCCCTGCATTGCTGAAAATAGAGGAGTAATAAATGTTGTTTGTTTGGTTTTTTAAAGACACTCTGTGTTTAAAATTGCCTGAAAGAAGTCAAGTCAAGTTTTATAATTAATATCCAAATTCACTCCTCTGCTCAGATGCTCCTTAGGTTAAATTGAAAAACTTGGGGATTTAGGGAGCTAATTGCCAGTCCCTGAGGTGTAGTTTCCTGCTGCTGTCGTAAGTTTCAGTAGGAAATCACTCTCACATCTGCAGTGTGAAAGTTCTCAATGACTCTGAGCTGGCAAAGAATTGATTGTAGTGCAATTAGTGTCACCATTCCCTTTCTCTCTTTTCAGCCCACAACTTTCCCCATTAGATTACAGATGCCAAAGGCTTGAGAGAGGGGCTTGAGAGTTTAAAAGATTGACTTCCCCTGCACTGAGAGCTTGAGCGTGGCAGAGGGGAGTCTTCCTGAGCTGTTCCCAGCTGCTTTAGGGACACTTTACCACTGATAAGATTGAGCAGTTTTGGGACGCTGCTAAGAGTATTTATTGAAATACATCTTGAGGCTGTGCTTATTGTAGAATTTAAATAGATGCTTTTAAATCATGCACCACTAAGAGATGCTTAAAATTGGAGTGCTGAAATTGGCAAAAAGGCTAAAACCTTGCTGAGCTCTGAGTGTGACAGTAATGCATTTCAGGAGCGTATGACAACCCTGTATTGGACAGCAATGCCCATAGTAAGCATTTCTTCCTTTGTTTGACCCAAGCCATCACTGATTCAGCAGTCAATTGGAGGCACTAATTACATTCTGTGTCAATTAAACAGCAAATCCTTTTATTGGCAGAAATTTTTCTGCCTTTTAATTTTGCTGGTTAATATGTATTATGAAAACAGGTGAATATGAAATCCCTGATAACCTTTACAGTGTTAATTTTAGAGAGCTCTTACACCACCTGTATATTCCCTCATTAAATTAAATAAAGTTGTAAAAAGCACTTGATACTTCTGATGTGCCTCAGTATGGAAGCCCAGGGCAGTGAACTCCCTTGTTGTTGGACGTACAAGACTGAATACAGATACCAGCATTGTAATCTTCTTATGCTGTCCTGTCTAATACCGTCAGCTGCCATTTGGAAAGGTCACGTACAGCTCTGAGAACACAGTGCAGTTTCCGTGTCAGTGCCATTGCTGGCCAGGGAAGCCGGTGGCCGGTCCCCAACCCCAGGCATCAGGCAGCTCCATGGGCCGTGCTGAGGACAGTTTGGAACACCAGCCCCAGGTCAGGGTAGTGGCTGTGCACAGACAGAGCTGGGTGTGCATCTGAGGCTGTAACTGGAACAAGGGGGACAGCCTCCATTTAAACACAGGGAAAGGAGGGCTTGCCCTTTCTGAGGCCTCGGCTTCCTCTAGGGCTACCAGCTCTGCTCCTTCCAAGCCAGCCCTGGGCAACCACACTCCCAGGAGGCAGAAGGATACATGCTGGGCACTTACAATACTGGCCAGCAGCCACTGAAGTTGGAATAGTGTATCTGTCTATTGAAATGTGGAATGAGATTATTACTTAACTCCCTTGTACCTTCAAGTGATTGCTGTCTTTCAAGAACCAATGAATAAACTACATGGAAAATGAAGATCCAAGACCTTTCTACTCATGTACAAATGGTTCCTGTGCTGGTTCTTGTCCACCTCTCCTAAATATATTTCTTCTATATGTTTTTAAAAGCAGTAATGGGTCAAGATACTCAATTGGAGTAAGCTTTGCATGATGTCGCTGGAACGTCATATTGTAATCAAAATTAAAATCATCAGCACGAAGTTGTAACTAATTCACTTGTATACATAATGTCAAAATAGATTTAATAACATCTGTGATGTGTTTTATCTGCACTTCAGAAGTCAAATTGTAAGAGCACAAGAGTCAGTTTTGAAATTAATCTGGACATGTTTTCAGTGTGTATGCTTGGATGCCAAGGAATTAGAGACTTTCTTTTGACCCCATTAACAAAGTGCACAGGAGAAGCATTTTTGTTCAGTTCTCTGTGAAAGGGAAACACTTGGTTTAGAAATAAGCTTATGCAGTGTCATCAAGGAGGACAAAAGATGTATTCTCTTTTTGACTCATAGGTGAAAGTAGAATTCTGACTTTTCTGATGAAGTTCATTAGTGATGTTTTTCATATTTGGTTGGATAACTCGGCAAAACTATATTCTTGGCACTGCAATAGTAAAATCACTCTGTGCCAAGCAAGAGGGGGTGCAGCATTTTATTTTTGACATAGGGAAGTCCTCGTAATAGTAATGAAAGGAACTGAGAGAGAGGAACAAACCCAGAAGAGACAAGAGATGCACAGTGCAGTTGTTCACCACCCAGTGACTGATGCCCAGCCCGTCCCCCAGTTCATACACTGAGCTGGATGCTCTGTGCTCCGGAATATCCCTCTGGCCAGTTTGGGTCAGCTGCCCCGGCCATGCTCTGTCCCAGCTTCTTGTGCCCTCCTCACTGGCAGAGCATGGGAAACTGGAAAGTCCTCACTTGGACTAAGCATTACTGAGAAACAACTGCAACATCAGTGTGTCACCAACATTATTCTCATACTAAATCTAAAACACAGCACTGCTGCTGTTTGCACAGATGCTTAGAAGGAAATTAACTCTATCCCAGCCAAAACCAGGACAAAAATAAATATATTTAAAAAAATATTTATTAAAAAGTACTAGACAAATAAACAATCAAACTTTATGGAAGAAAATAGAGGTAGGGAAAGGAAATGTAATTACATGCAATTAAACAACACTTCAATTCATGTTATTAGTTTATGTGTCATCTCTTTTCTCTCTGAAATTGAATAAGTTGAAAACTGAGAGGCAGAAATATGTTCAATAGGATGTTGTAATCATATTTCTCTCAGTGTAGGGATTGTCTTCTTACAGAGATGGATTGTGGGTTTTTTTCTGATGCAAATGGAATGATTCCTTTACTTTGTGTTGCTTTATTTTAGGATCACACCCAGAAAATATGATGTTGTTCAAGCATCAGAACTTGGGCAAAAGGTTAGAACAATCACTGCTGATGTTGGGGATTTAACATTAAATCGAAGGGAAACAAGGACATCATTTACATTCAGGAAAGTGAGGAGAAGCCCTTGCAATTGCAGTAAGTGTCTTGAGGCAAATTTCAAGTCAAAATTGATATTTATCAACAATAGGTAGTATTTTTTGCTTTGAGAAAATAATTTGATTCTTTTGGGTAGTTTTGGCAGTTGTCATAGCTATTCCAGGATGGTTCATAGCATTTTATATGGCTTGAATTGCTTGCATTCATGTGGTTGCTGGAGTTTCTCTATACAGGAAAGCATTTGGCTTCTTCCAGAGCCAGGCAAGTAATCTGGAGTCTTCTGTGTCATTGGCATTTCAAGTGCTTAATAATGTAACAAAATAGAAATAATTACTATTCTTCAAGTTTTTTCCTCAGTTTTGATTTTTTTTTGTTTTTGAAGGAGCCTCTAATTTTGAGAAAATAGGTACATTAGAGAAGGAGAAGTAGTCATATCTGCTGTGACAGAGCCATGTAAAGTGCCTTAGGGCAGTAGAAATAATAATAGACAGGTGGCTCAATGAATACATGGAACTGAAGTCCATTTATGCCCTTAAAACAGAATTTCAGAGGCTGAATTGCAATGATGTCGTGGTCTTTGGCATTGGGGGCACTATCTCAGTTTTGAGAACATAAACATCATTAACATAGCAGATTAATGATCACTGCAAACAGCCTCTGGTACATGTGGGCTGGTTGCTTATTTTCAGGTCATCAAACACTTCTGTAGTTTGACCTGTGTATCAGTTTTTAAAAGATACAGGAGGATTGCAACATTTTTTGCATTTTAATATTTCACTTTTAATTTAATTTTAGTAAATATACTTAATCAAAGAGGAATTGATTTAAAATAAATATTTTGTATCTGTTGCTGTATCTAGTTTACCCATCTGTCTGTGACAGCCAGAAAGGACAGCAGAGACCAGTGCAGCCCTCATTTCCCCAGAATGAGATGGAGGCCTCAAAGCTGGAGCAAGAATATGTACACAAGGTGTATGAAGAGATTGCCACACACTTCAGCAGTACCAGGCACAGCCCATGGCCCCGAATTGTGGAGTTTCTCAGGTCCCTGCCAACAGGGTCAATAGTGGCTGATATTGGTTGTGGCAATGGGAAGTACCTCGGCATCAATGAGGATTTGTACATGGTAAGTAGTAGCTCCTGTCATTTGTTTTCACTGGTTCTGGTGTTTATTCTATCAGGCACTTGCTTGAGGTTCAGGCTGGCATTGCAAGAATGCTGAGAACACAAAGCTATTTCCTGATCCAAGATCAAGTACCAATTGTCTTAAGTTTCCACCTGTATTCATTATGTGCTTTACCTTTTTTTCAAAGCCATTTCTGCTTTGTAATTCAAAATGTGTTAAGAAAAATAGTAATGGATGCAGCAGATTGAAAAACTGTAATGGATGGTTTAGCCTTTCTTGTCATTGGTGTTGAATAAACTTATTAAAGCATTGGGCAATTTGAATCCTTCCAATGAAATTTTCATTTGTTTGGAGAGTGGGTGAAATCTTCATGGGCAATGCTATTTTTCATAACCTCTGTGGCCTGGTGACATGTCTCATTTGTGAATGATGTCATGTTTGGCTGTTCTACCTCTGCCTCTTTGCACAGGCCCAGTAAATATGCCAACATAAAATTCACAGGGAGATCTCAACTTTGGTACAGATTTCTGGCCTTTCACTCCCTTTTCTCCACTTTTAGACAATTCTGACATAATTCTTGCTCATTTTCTCTCTTTTGCTGTTTCACAGTCTGTACTTGGTCCAGTTTTACTCCCTTTCTATCAGTGAGAGATGAAGTATGTACAAATATGAACCAAAAGATAGCTTTCGCTGCAAATATTTAAAGGATCCTTTTTGGGGGAAATAAAAAAGAGTTAAATAAAAAAACTTGCCATTGTTTTAACCCAAGAGAAATCTCAGAGAAGTGTATATTATGGTATATGCTCTCTCCTGTTCCAGGATTGTCTGATTCTTTCACATGTTTGTCCTGTGTAACACTCTGAAATCCATCAGACGTGAAAACTCCTATGTAGGACAAGGCATTCATTATTGATAGTAAAACTTGGAGTTGTTTGTCTTTTTCAGGAGTTTCTGTCCTGTTATTTATATTCAGCTAAAAAAGAGAAGTTGTTATTTACAATGCCGTTTGTATTAGTAAATTATCTCCCTTACTGTTCTTATGGGCAAGAACAACATCAACCAGTTAATAAGTAGGCATCTTTATGCCTGACTGCTGAAGCCTAATTATTAATTTCAGTACGTTTCAATCTTTTTGTCTTTCAGTCCTGACTGCTGTAAGAAAAATCAGCAAGCCTAACTAGAGAGGAGAAACATTTATTAGAGTATCATGAGGGTTGACTGCTCCAAGAATGGATCTGGTAAATTGCAGTTGCTGAGGTTTGTGGTAGACTTGTAAAGTGAAATTAATGCAAGATACTGTATTCAGAAATTGCCAGCATCAGTCTGTTTTCTGGACACAATTAACAGCTAAGGAAAGGAAAGATCACATATTGGCTGGCAGTAAAAGGAAAGCCACCTCCTCTCTCTTACTTTAGGAGTTACCTAATTTCATATGTATCTCCGGGAGAGATAAAAAACATGAAAAATAACAGTGAAAGGGAGGAAACTATTAAAGAAGCAGTTGAAACAGTTGAAAAATAGAATCTGGGAATTGCTTCATTCCATTGGCCTTCCTTGACATTTTATTTTCCAGTGGTGACAACTAGTGGTTCTTAGATGGAGATAGACTCTAGACTTTGCATTTGATTGTTTTCATCTACAAGTCAGCACAGAGCCTCAGGAGGATGGACTTGATTCCTTCTTTCTACCAGATTTTTTTTTTTCTGTAGCAGCCTAAGTGTGGTTAAAGAAAACCCTGTGTATATTGTGTTTACAGGTGTTTTTAAATTTTTGACAGGGTATCTCAAGTGCCGTTCTACCTACCATGGTTTAATCATGTAGCTGAGGGAGAGGGATTACAGAATGTTTTATGTATCAGGTGTATTGTTGGGATAAAAGGAATGGTCTGTACATGCAGGGCATCAGTTTTCTTCCTAATTTACTCATATTTAGTTGGAAGCATAAAATCCAGGCATAACTTAGTAAACTCTAGGTCTCTTTTTTGTGCACAGTGTAATGGAGCTCTGAGCCCGGGTGCTGTTGGGAAAGAAGCAATAAAGCAGTGCTGTGAAATTAGGAGTTGTGTAGGAATTGGGTAAGGCACTGTTGGCACAGCTCTGCAGCTTGGGGTGTTTTGACTCAGAGGTACTGAAAACCTGAGGCAAGCATTTCCTGAAGGCAGGCAATATGCTTTTATGCTTTAAGTAGCAGTGCTGGTGGTAGATCACAGCTAGGGTAGCTCTCTTGATGTTTTACTCTTCAGGTACTGTCTGAAAACATCTCCACTGCAGCCTGTGCTGTTCTGGTTGCTTCAATTTCCCTGGATGATTAAATGTGGCCTCATCTACTTGAGTATCCTGTGTGACAGTGAAATGCACGAGTCCATCTGCGCTCAGCAAAAGTGACATTGCTGTAATGGCTGCATTATTCTGACACAGTGAGAGAGCAGCAATTCCATGCCAAACAAATTCAGATTAAGGATGTATCAGCTGGAGATGGAATCCATGTCTGATGTAGCTAGCACAAAGGCTGGAGAAATGTTGAATTTAACAGTTTCAGATTACTTTTTCTGTCTCGCTCACCTTGTTATTGTTAAATGACAGCAAAAAAGAGATGTAGTTTTAGTGTGGTTTTTCCACAATTCTCTCCTCACACAATCTCATTTGGGGGAATTATTTTAACAGATTTTATTTAGGTGCTTTGAAGCTTAATAGTCATCTCTGTAAGCAGAGCTTTTCTTTTTATGGAACAGTGTGTTCCAGCCTTAGCCATTCTCCTGATTACCACAAGGGTTTCATTGATGTTATTGCAATGATCTCGTTAATTTCTATGCACTTTAGCTTTGTCTCCTTATTTCCAGTGTTCAGGTAGATGTGGTGATGTGTAAGTCTCTGCACTCACTGGGCTACAGCGTGAAGGAAAAGCCATTGAAGTCTTTCAAATTTGTGGTTTACATTTTTAATTGAACTGATAAATTGGTGAGAAATTCAGTGGCAAATTACTGAAAATGCCATAGGGTGGATATGTTTTGGTTTTGTATAAAGAAATTACTCTGATTGTCAGAGTACTGATGATAGGGAAAAAAATATGCCAATAGAGGAGCCAGAATGATTTGCTTTAATCCAGATATTCCTATTTCTGTTGTGTGTGTGTCATTCAGAGGTAATTGGTAACACAGTTTATATTTCACAAGACTTTTGCTCTGAGATGTGCACCTCTATTTTCTGCATTACTGTCCCAAACTGAGATCTACTAGAATTATATAAAAATTTTGCTTTTTCCAGGGTGTGGGGAGGGGAGAGACTGAGTATTTTCTGTGGTATAGTGGCATATAGTTGGGTGGCTTTTAGTTCACTGGGTTTGTACAGATTGGGAATACATTCCTCTCCCAAGGACTTTTTAGTAGTGGGTAAAAGTAGAAGGGACAAAACCAATTAGGAAATGTATACCTGGAGTAAGGTCACCTTATCTTAGCAATTGAAGGGTGACACAGATGAATCTTTCCTGCTCTTTTCTCTCAGTGAATAAGAGTCATTAAATGGGTGAGAGATCTCGGAAGAGAGCTCAGAAGGAACTGGGCAAGAGCAGCACAAAACTAGAATAAAAGCTGAATTGCTCAACTTGGTTCTGTTGCTCTGTCACTGAGAAATGAACTCCATGTCTTAGGCACAGCACTTTGCTTTCAGAGATACCCTGACTACATGCAATGGAAAAGCAAAACGCTACATGAAAGCAATGCTGAAAGCCTGACTCAGATGAATTGTTTGCTGGAATGTAATTTGGTTTCTTGAGCTTCTCATGCTGTTAGTTATAGCTGAGGCTTGTCTCTGGAGAGCGACATAATTCCATTTGGTGGCTGGATTTCAGAATTAGATGTCGTTTTGTTCATCGCTCTGTAATGTGCTGAATAAATCAGGTTCCCAGATACTTACATGAACTAAGGCTACTGAGTTAGTTATAATGAGATAACATAGAATGAAAACACGTAGTGGTGGATAACCTCAACCTGTCTTTACTTACCTTTTTTTCAGCATGTAAGAGGGTTTATCTTTTGCAGATTTGCAGCATAACTACAAAGGAAGCTATTTATTAATGTCTTTTTCCCCCAGTGATCTATGCCAAACCACTGCATTGAATTGATTTTATAAAATCTACTTTAGCCACTCCTTGCTGTAAAGGTGGAGGTGAAGGTGCATGGGAACATGAAGGAGCAGGATGGCATAAATGCCTATGTTATCCATTTCCAGGAAGTCAGTACAGAGCTGCTGAACACTTAGACAAGTCACAGGTGTTATATTTGTTTCTCCCTCCTTTCTCCCCCTTTATCTTGGCCCTTGTTTTTTTTTTTTTTTATTGTCTAAAGGCTTGCAGACAGGGTGTGGTATGCCAGAATGATGACATACCTTTGCCCCTTTCCTAAGTTTTGTGTTGGAGTTCTAGTTACAGACTTACTGGCCTCCATACTAATACAGATTTCCTGTCTTCAGGTAAGAGTTGGATGCAGTTAATATTTATCCTTATACACTGAAAATCAGTGCCTGAAATCCAAATGGATTTCAGTCACAGTAACTGTCAGTGGCCACTCTTGAGCTCCTGTGAGCCATTGTTTACATCACAAATAGTGGTGAAGAGATGGCTGGAGGTACTTCTCAGAAAGGGATGTGGGAATGGATGTCTGGAGCAAAATCTGAGAAGCCAGCCTCCTTTATGGGAATTTTGAAAGGTGTGGAATGACTTGCTAAGAGGTGGACTTGCTGAGGTAGACTCAGCTGAATAATCAGCCATGCTATTTGAGATATATATGAGAAATTGTGGAGTTTGAGCAAGGAATTTGATTTGGAAAGCTGAGGTATAAGAAATGATTGAGAAGAATCATAGATAATAAGAAAGAGAAAGCCTAAGAACATACCACATATAGCTTGACTCACCAACAGATGTACTAGATTCTTCTGGGTTTAGACACTGGACTGATATTAATTAATCTGCCTTTCTCCACTCTTCTGCAAGAGATGCAAGCAAAGACACTAAAAATCCTGTCCTGAGCATTGAAAATAGAGATATGAACTGGCAAAAATTAAAGCTTTCCAGCTATATTTTGAGATTAGTTTTAAATGTTTTGATTATATATTTAATTAGAGAGAGAAAAACCCGTTCTCAGTTAAAACAGTCCTTTGAACTCTTCTGTAGATGAAATTTCATCAAATCAAAGCTTCTTCAGGCTTTAAAATTTAAAAATCAGTTAGTAATAGAATTGGGAAAAGTTGAGTTTGGAATCTCTGCCCCTTGCTGTAAATGTTTTCTGTACTCATAAAAACCACAGATAGACTAATTTAAGGTAGCTTTTTGCTACCTTATTGTGTTTTTAAGCGACTGAAACAAATGTATTTTGGTTTTTAATAAATGCATGTTTCTTGCAAGTCAGAAAATGACGGAATGTGATGATTATAATTATTTTGAAATATCACCTACAGATAATTCTAGAAAGATGCTAAAGTTGCCTAGTTTCAATGCCAGGCATCTGTGGTGATTCCTTGTGTTCACCATTTATGCATATATGCATAGCACCTAGTGTCCTGTTTACATATAAAACCATGTAAAGTTTTAGCCTAGAATACCTGTTGTAGAGCAGCTGTGTGTTCAAAGTGTTCTGTTTCAAGGTCTCCATTTTCACTGTGAAACAACATCTTTTTGCTTTGGATTTACATTTGCTTTAGAAAGTATGTCAATACAAGTAAACCTGACCTCAAAATATTTGCTATAATTTAGATGCAAATGAGAACTTTGCAATCTGGCAGTCATGCCTTTGTTCTCATTCTCAGTTTTCTGGATTTCATCAACATAGATTGTAGTCCTTTTCAAGGTCATTTTGGGAACGGGGGATTGTGTTCCATTATCCAGCCCATTTTCACTCCAGATGTGGAGGTCCAAGCAGTTCCTTCTGAGAAAGCTTGACATCAGTGGAAGCTCCAAGTTTTCTTCTTCTTCCTTCTGCCAGTAGTGATTTTGGTCCTTTGAGTTTTATTACTAAGTACTGCAAGCCAATGTCTTAATTGCAGAAGTAGTTAAAGGTACTGGTAATGAGGTGTGCAATCACTAACATGCAGGTTGTCAGAGTAATTTAAAGACACTTCAGTTGGCTGCCAGTGTAAAATTATGGGGATTTGTTTGCATTCAAGTAAGCAAGGATTTCCTTTTTTAATTCATAAACAGCACAATTCACTCAGGGCTTCAGTAAATGGGATAGACCAAGGAATGAGTGTGAAGAAAGCAATGTTAGGATTGATCTTTTCAGGTGTGTTTATTGCTAATTGACTAATATCTACATATTTGTAAGTTTTGGTGGAGGATTATCTTGTATTGTCAGGTTGGCATTTTCACAACTGTTACATTTACTTTGGATCAAAAGTCAGGGACCTGAGTAGAAGGCAGCTCACTGGTAAGCTTTCACTGGAGCAGAATTCTGGTTTTCTTCAAAACTGTGGTGGTAGGCTGAAAGATAAAAGGACTTGAACAGATAAAATGAAAAATTATGATGGAAAATAAATATGTTGTCATTAATCATTGCAAAAGAGGTTTTTAATTTTGGTGGTGCTGTTGTCTCTTCTGGGTTGATTAAGCAGGGTGAGTTGTTTGCTATTCTTCCTGCGTCAAAGACGGTTTAGTATTCTTTCCGTGTCAGATGCAATAAACACTGTCAACAGTAATTATTTAGGATTCTAAACCTGTTCTCCACTATCTACTGGTTGCTAGTCATTGAAAACAAATGATGAATTAATAAATTTATTATTCTCATACATGCAGAGTTTGGTATACAACCTGGTAGCAGGGCTTTGGTTTGCGTATTCAGTATGCATAGCAGACATGAAAGCAAGGGTGGCACATGCCTCACTATTTCTTTCAGAAGGTGTTTTGATCAATTGTTTTTATGCAAGCATGTAAAAAACACTTCTAGATGCTGATTTTTCAAAGATGGTAAGTTTTGTCTTACGCCTTTGATGTGGACACTGGGCAGATGTAGTGGGCTGACTGCTGGGTTTAAAAGGGAAAAAACCCAATGTTTTATTAGGCATTCAGAAATGGTTCTAGGGGTCACTTCACTGGACTGTACAGAACCTTGTAAAATTATGTTGAGCTTAAATTTTTTGTGGATTGTGATAATGAGGGATAAGAGAAAGATATCTGAGCACTTCCTCCCCCTGAAATGACAAAACCTGGGTGATGAGTGAAGCTGTATGCCATACTTTAGTGATACCACCAAAGTCACTGGATCATTGTTTGAACTTGTAGATCAGCTTCTGTGAGGTCACTATTTGGGTGCTTTAAATGTTGTCAAGTTAAAAATGGCAGTTGAAATGAAAAGAGAATACTGAGGTTAGGTCGCATCTCATTTTGCTCATTTCAAGACACCTTGAATGAATTTTGAAGTAAAGTTAGGTTGAAACCTGGTCTGTCTTAAGCTGATTCAAAATGAGGGTGCTATAATGAGCTGTCTAATATCCAGTCTTTCATCTTTGTTTTCAGTCTGCATCAGGGTTGTTTTCTTTTTGTCTGTACCTGGGAACTATATACTCCTCTTAAGGCTATTTTCTCACACTTGTGAGAAAATAACTGTGTTTCCTCAGTAGGAGACTGTGATGACTCTATTACTGTAGGCATCAAATGAAAATCATATTCCAGTCTTGTAATTATCCTCTCATGAAAAGCTTAATGAAACATTTTCTCTTCTAGGTTGGCTGTGATCGCAGCAAAAACCTGGTGGATATTTGTGGAGAAAAGCATTTCCAGGCGTTTGTCTGTGATGCCCTGTCAGTGCCAATCCGCAGCGGTTCCTGTGACGCCTGCATCTCTATTGCTGTCATCCACCACTTCTCCACAGCAGTAAGTCACCCCCCTCTGCTCCACTGTCCTGTTGGGTTGCTGTGCAGAGCTGCTAATACTGCGGTGCAAGCAAAGGCAAGAACACAATGGGAAGAAATCCAAGGTTTGCATGTGGTGTAAGCAGTCGTCAGAGCAGAGTTAAGCTACTGCTGCTTCTTAGACTTTCTGTTCACATTCTCCTCCTGCTTCTCAGATGCCCTTGCTCCCCCTGAAACTTTGGTCCTATGTTTGGGTTTCATTTTCATGTGCTTGTAATTAATGACACTGGAGAAGGGGGCTCTGCTTTGGGAGTCAAGACATCTATTGTTTCCTGCGTCAGATATTGGGCTCTTGGACAGATCTTGTGATTTTGTGTTTTTTAATCTGTGCATTGGTTGTCCATGACCAAACAAAAGGGAGACTGCTCACCAGACTGCTGTATCTCTGGGCTGGATAAGGTTCTCCTGGTAGGAACTGTGCCATGGTAACAAGTTTCTAGACTATCTTAGAGGGGCCTCATGGACCTTTCCATACCATAAATGCAAGTTTCAAATCCAGTAAAAAAAAAGTAGAAGGAACTCTGTTTTGGAGAAGGCTGACATATCTTTGTTTGTGTGGTCAGAGGACCTGTGTTTAAGCTGTAAGTCTGACTCGTTCAGCTGCAAACTTAGCCTGTGCATCATCAGGTGTGGTAGATTTGAATCTGGGATTTTAAATACTGAATCACCTTCTTGAAAAGGTGTCTGTCTTTTCCAGGTGGGCTGAAATGTCCAAAAAATCATGCTCAGCACAGAATTATTTTCAAATGGAAAGAGATTAGTAGAATCATTGAGGCTGGAAAAGACCTTTAAGATCATCAAGTCCCACTGTTAACCCAGCACTGCCAAGACAGTCCTTGAGTGCCACATCTATGGAGCAATGTGGTTAAATACCTCCAGGGATGGTGAATCCACCACTGCTCTGGACAGCCTTATTCCATTGCTTGACATGAATGATGTCTTGATGAAGAAATTGCGTTTAGGAAAATGTCTTGGCTTGCACACAGTGATGGGCTATATTATGAATGAAAATAAATAGTGGGAAAAAACACCTCCTTTTCAAGTTTTATTGTATCTTGGGTAAGGAGAAACTCCTGCCATTCCATTCTCTTGACTTCTTATTTATGTAGCAGCTTCACACTTTGGCTTTTCCTTTCCAGGAGCGGAGACTGGCTACTATCCGGGAACTAGCTCGGCTTCTAAGACCTGGTGGAACAGCACTCATTTATGTCTGGGCGATGGAACAAGAATACAAAAACCAGAAGTCTAAATACCTTAAGGAAAAGAATGGTAGTAAAAACAAAGACAGGGAAATGAATACTGACACAGCCCAGAGACCACTTAATGACCAAGGGCCTGATAACAGCAGCCAAGACTCAGCATGGTCTGACCAGCTCCTTAATGACTTGAAGGATGAAAGCTGTGGTGCCAAGCTAGTAACAGATTTCAGACTGCCTGTTCACACTAACAGAACTTCCTTTCACTCTCAAGATTTGCTGGTTCCCTGGCACCTGAAAGGTGGTACAAAAAAGAAAGAGGAAAGTGTTGATACAGTGGTGGTTCCAGGTGGCTCCAAAGAATTGCAAGAACTCAGCCCTGTTTTCCACCGCTATTACCATGTGTTCTGTGAAGGGGAACTGGAAGCAGTGTGCAGATCCCTGGATTGTGTGAGGGTTCAAAAGAGTTACTATGATCAGGGAAACTGGTGTGTGATTCTAGAAAAGTTGTAGTCTGTGTTGCTTCCTCTACTATCTGTAGAGTTTTCTTTGGTTTTTTACAGTGAAAGATATTTTGTGAAAGGTATTTTTAATGCAGGCTGCAGCTATTGCCTCTTTTAAAATGACAGAATAAAGATTGTGCATTGAGGTAATAACAGTGGCTAGCACTGTGTGCATATGTTAACAAAACAATGGCCAAACTCAGCTACTACCTCTGCAGTGTTTGCGTTACTTCTCTGAATTACAGTGAAGAGGATTACGTGGGAAAATACTGCCCATGCAAATCACTAAGGGCAGTGTTGAGCTTTTAAGACAGAGGGCCTAGTTCTCCCTTCTGTTACACCATTTTATATTGATGTAGCTGCAGTGTTTTCCCTGCAGTCCACAGCTAATTGGAATGGAGCTCTGGGCAGGAAAGGCAGAGCTGTTTGCTGTGTAAAATTGTGGATGAGGGAGGAGGGAGTGATTGGCACATGAAGCAGTTAAACTGAAGAGTCAAACTGTTGCCTCAAGTTTGGTCTTGCCTCTTTTGGTGTCCATGAGTGGTGACAGATCTCTTTCAGTTTGGAATTTACTCTCTTGGTTGTGGTAATAATGATTTCCTCAAAGGGAACTGAAAAGATATTGGAGATAGCACAGGCACTTTGCTCTTCCTTGACTCTCAAATACCCACAATTCAGATTTCTGTAGCTCTTCATTGTAGTGTTTGTGAAAGCTCCTGTGAAGTGTGAGTTCCAGCCCAGCCGGAACAGCCAGACCAGCTCTGCTACACACCTGCATTTCTACGAGTGCGCGTCTCTGTGCCTGTAGCACCAGGAGCTGTGGGGGTGGGGTGACACTGAGATTTCCCAGGGGAAAAAGGGAAAAATATTAAAGTGAAGGCAACATTGGTACAGGTTTTCTGGTGGGTATTTTCAGCCTCTAAATGTTGGCAGTGGAGCAAGTTTTGTTTAATACACTTCAGAAGAGGAAAGGACTTGAGTAGAGGGGAACTGATGCTGGGCTGACTGACTCAGAGCAGCTCTTTTGGCTGTGGCCTGCAAGGACTAGTGCAATTTATTTGATACAACTCTTGCGCTACCAAAAGAGTGTGACACCTGGAATGCATTTCTGAAGCTAAAATAATGGGCTGGCTTTTGTGGGATGAATGGCTGTTGGTGCCTCTGGAAACCAGTGCTACTAAACTAGGCTGTTATATTGATTGATCGCCTGTAATTGTAGCAAGCTCTATGGTATTGGCAGGTTGTGCTGCTGTAAATAATGGCATACAAACCAAGATGCCCATCTTAAATCATGTGGGGACTTCAAGGACACCTTGGCTTACTCCTCCTTGCCTCCCATGTGCAAGATAAAGGCTGCTGTGCTGGCAGCCAGCTCACAGTCACCGTTTCTCCTAGGCTCCCACCTTGTAATGGAGAAAATCCAAGGGGAACGAGAGCAGTAAGAGAGGAGCTTGCTGCCACCACAGTTCACCTGGCCTGTGCTTTGTGTGCTGTCTGCTTCCAGAAAAACCTTGGGGAAAGAAGGTCTCATTCCTCAGCTGCACATGTAGCAGCAGCCTTGTCCTAATGATTCCTTTCCTTTGGCCAACAAAGGGAGCATGTCTGTAGCAATGAGCCCTCTTGGGCATGTTCAGGGGCTGATTTGCACATATTCAGTGAATATCCCATAGCTGGAAACATGTCTTGCAGAAAGGCCTGAGCTGGCTTTAGTACTGGGACACAGTGTTTGGGTGCAAGAACTCACCCCTTTCCCAGCTGGACTGTGGCACCAGAGCTAACCAGTGCTACACGATGTCAGTGTGTCACCGGTGAGAAAGGGCAGGGAGAAGCTCTGCCTGGTGTCTGTGCAGTGACTAACTCATTAACCTGGGCTCCCTATTATTTCTGATTATGTGGATTGCCTTTATATGGAATAAAGGAGGAAGACACATTTCTGAAGCTCTGTGCCTGCATGGCCCTGTGTTTGCTGGTGCCTGGACTCCTGCTGAGCACACAGCAGCTGCTGTTGGGTTTCTACATTGCCTGTAGCTGCATTTTCTGTAAGAATATACAGTGTTCTGGCAAGGAACAATTACTCCTTGAAAGTCCTTCTGAAGTGCTGCCATATCATGACCTTGTGTGACAAATTAGGAATCAGTGTGCAGTTGTGCTCGATTAGTCAATGTACCCTTGTTCTGACTGAGGATAGCTCAGAGGTGCTGCCTCCAAATTCACTGCTGGCTCTGACTGCACACAGGGTTAAGCACTGTTCTAACCTGGGGCTCAAATGCATCAAGTAGACAAAGCCGGAATAATTAAATGTGGACTTTATGTAACACTGATCTATTTTTTGCAAGCCCTGTGGCTCCTGTCGGGCTTTCCTGTTTTCCCCCTGTTTCCCTGGCAGAGGCAGCATTAGGCAGTGTCTGGGGTCACACTTAGCATTTCTTGCCTTCTGGGCTGATTGACATCATTTATTGACTGCCATATGAATGAATAGGTCACATTCCCTCTCACCAGGTCTGCAGTGAAGCACCTGGGATGTCTGAGAGGAGAGTCAAATTTTATTGTCAGTCTTTTGGAGACCATCAGTCTTCCTGCAAGGTATTCCTTTTAGCTGAGTCATAGTAGCTTTTCATGCTGTGATTTGCTTTCCATCCATTTCATGCTGGCTCAGAGCACAAAGTGTTGTTCTCCCTCTCCTAGGCAGCCCAGAACCTCCTTCCACAACCAGGACCCACTGGAACTCATCACCTAGGGTGATGAGTTCCCGTGAGTCCTGGTTCTGGAAGGAGGTTCTGGCATGGGGACCACCAGGTTGGGCAACACTACTTGGACAGGTATACTGGGTTGAACATAATTCCTTACCAAAGAGGCTTTTCCTGGCATTGCTGAGGGCTGTGAGCCAGAGGATGATCCCAGCGGCACGCTATCTCTTCAAAGACAATACAAAAGTTAAAAGTACTCTGAAATCCTCTGAGGCCTGGAAATGTTATGAAATATTTCTTTGGTTAAAGTCAGAGTCTCTTCAGATGCTCCAAGAGGGATGAAGTGGTGAAGGAGAAAATGACAAGGGAGGAGGGCAGGTAGATGTTAACAAAACTTATTGCAGAGATTTACAACACAGAATTATGTGCAACCACAGCTGCCCTCTGCAGTACTCACTTGCCCCTTTTTACCTCCTGGAAGTGGTAACGAGATGAAACTCTTTAAGGCCAACAGTTGGGTTTAAATGTTACAGATTTTATGTTGCACTGTCCTGCCCTGACAAAACAAGGGCTTCAGAACATCTCTGGGCTTAAAGCAAAGGACATGAAGTGATTTCTTGTTCCAGGGCAGGTAACAAATGAAACCTGCAAAACATGGAGGACTTCTTTTAACTTCATAGAGATTCTTCAGACTGATGTCCTGGTGCAGCCAAGCCGTGACAAAAACTCCTCCAGACCTCGGAGAGGCTGGATTTCCCTGGAAGTGTTCAACTTAAGCTTAGCAGGGAGAGGTGTAGGACAGCAGATAGCAAGGGACAACATGCTGATTGCATTGCTTTGCTGAATGAGAGCCACAAAAAGCTGAATGGGGACCACAGCTTCTCTTAAGAGAGCTTGAAGGACTTGCCTTGGCACCATGAGCAAAAGATGAACTCTTGTACTCTCAAGAGCTCACCAAAGTCACTCAATCATGCGCTTCTTCAGCTGGACGGGAAAGAAAATTGAATGAAAGGCTTGTGGGTGGGATATCATCAGGGACAGATCACTTGCCCATCACCATCATGGGCCAGAGTAGAAAAAGGAGAAGTAAAACTAAATCTTAAAAACACTTTCTCCCACCCTTCCCTTCTTCCCGGTCTTAATTTTATTTCTGATCCTCTAACAACTTGCAGTGACACAGAGGGGTGGGGAATAGGGATTGTGGTCACTTCATCACATGTTTCTGCAGCTGCTTCCTGTTCTCATATCAGGATTAGGAATCATCTTCCTCTCACAGAAGCATTATGAATATGAAACTTCTAATCATGTAAGTACAAATACAGATGTCAGACATTCTCTGTATAAAGTGAACTTCAATGAGCACGTTTGGGGAACTGTGTGCCAGAAATAAATGTCATGCAGCTGTACTGCATACAGCAAATGTTCTGAGTTTTGCAAACTATTCCCCTAGCAGCACTAGGTGGATGGGGAGCCTTCCCAAACACTTAAATTATGAGAGATTTAGAGTGATACCATTTTCCATACATAACAAAATTTTCATGTTTACCAGAATCTAAAAAAGCCTTTTAGTTTCAGAATTCCAGTTCTGTTACACTTGTAGATATCACAGAAACACTTCCCACTTGCAAAATGAAAACGATAATGAAATGATAAATGAAAATACTAAAGAAGATCAATAGCTACTGTCTCCAGTGTGCTTTGTTTTGTGTATTCTTCTTGCTGCTACAATTAAGGATTTCTTGTCATTATCACTTTGTGTGTCACTATGGTTTTCTATAATTTATTGTGGAGAAAAGAGAGAAAGACATTTCATTCATTATTACAAATCTCTTTTAGGTGTGTTAATGTGCTTTATATGAAGTGATTATGCTGACAACATCAGCTTTTGGACCCTAACTTTTTATGCAGATAACTTGCTCTGCCTTAATTAGTATATGTCCTCTTGGGGCAGAATCAGAATTGCATTGCTTTGTCTAAACTTTCTGGAGGACCATGCCAGACATCTCAAGTGGCTGCAAATGAAACATTTTCCTTCTCTTGCCTGCCTCCTTAACAGGTATTTGCTATGGAGCTGCTTGCTGAATGCAGACAGCATGTTCTTGTGCTGATGGTGCTCCCATCCACAAATTTCTTGGCCAAGACACCTCACTGAACTGTAAAAGACACCTTTTGAAGTTGAAGTCTACAACTCAGGTCAACAGCAAGACCCTGGATTGTTTTTATCTGGCTGACATAATTTTGTACAGTATTGCTGTCACATTTCTACACTTGCAGCAAGCCACCACTGGTGTGCAAATAGTGTAAAATTCTCAGAAACTTTGCCAGTATTGTAAGCTATTTTAAAGGCATCCTTGTTTAAATTGGATCAGGGACACGGAGAGAGTGCTCTGACATGAAACTCTTCTCTACCCCTTAAGCAGTCTATGCCTATACTTTACCATAGCAAAACGGCAACCAATGACAGCAGT